ATAGGAACCAGGAGAGATGAGCAATTTCAATACATGTTTAGAAGATGGAAAGTAGATGGAGGAATCTGATTTAGCAAAGTGGAGGAAACTGTAGCAAAGTGGATGAGAAAGGTGCCTTTTGACTCTTGCAGAACCCAAGAAAAGCTCTGTTTCTAGAGCATAAATCACCAGGGGATGGGGGAAGTAAACTGCAGAACTGATAACCAGGGCATTAGCTTAATGTTCTAACTTGAAAATAAATAAGTAAAGTTCTAGCTTGGTGTAGAAAGGTCCCTACTTCTCCCTCTCTGTTAGACACAGAAGCTGGAAACTATAGAGATAATGTAGGGATCGGAAGAAACCACTTAAAAAAGAGATAAAATGTATGTGTTCATGAAACAAAAATAGGATGCTAGGAAAAAGAAACAAAGGAGAAAGCTTTAGGTCTTAAAAGGAGAGCAGCAGAAAATTTAAAAACATAATAAAAAGCCTGGAAGATAAAGAGACAGAGATCTCTCAGAAGGTAAAATTAAAAAAATAAACAGAACAAGAAAAGGAGGTGGGGAGGGAAAGTAGTGAAATTAAAACATCAATCCCTTATTTCGACTAATGGGAGTTCCAGAAAGAAAGAAGACTGAAAATGGAAGGGAAAAAAGAAAAAAGAAAAAAAAAAAAAAAAAAAAGAAGACTTTAGAACTGAAGGACAAAAATCCTCAGATTGTACTGTCTTTTGTACAAGTCTGTCTGTTGATTGTAGAGTCCTTTGAGTAAAAAAGGCCACACCAAAGCACATTGGAATTCTGGAAGGCTTTTAAAAAAAAAATCCTAAAAACTTTCAAAGGTGTGCAACAGTCATACTTGGTATTAGTAATCAGAATTGAGATATCAGCACTGCTGACCTCTAAGAGCTAGTGGCACAATCCTTTGATAATTTTAAAGGAAAAATAGATTTCAGCCCAGACTTCTGAACCCAAACTATTTTAGTTAATTATAAAACAGAGGCATTTTTAGGAATACAGGGGATCAGTGACTTCCAAGGCACTTTCTTAGGTTTCACTAGAGGAGTGTGTGCTCCAGCAAAAAGAGGAGGAAACCAAATAAAGAGAGCACATCAGCTACAGATGCCAGTGTGGGGATGTGGGAAGCAGCCAGACCAGGTTGGAGCAGGGGTGCAGAGAGCTCCAGAAATGATGCCCTGGAGCATCACTGGTGGGGGGAGGGAGATGGAGCTAATGTACTATTTAGGCACATGGGGCACTTACTGATGGGCATGAACTAGAGGTCTTGTAACATGGGGAATAAATTAGTGGTGGGTTCATGTAGCAAATGGGAAAACATTGGCAAAACAACTCCAGGAAAAATGAAGGGTTATATAAAAAAGATGGCATGGTCACAAAGCATTACTTGACCCAGCATTGAGCAATTTTACAAAGTTGTAGTGATTCAAAACACTGACTTTTGGTTTAAATTAAAATTACAAAATAACCATTTAGGGCACAAGGAGAGAGAAAATGGGAAAGTGCTAAACCTTTTTTGCCCATGGTAGAAAATTAAAAGATATCTAAAATTGGTGAGTAAAATGATAGCAGTATAAATGTACCCTGCCAAAAAGTATTAGAATTAGTGATTTGGTAGCAATTTTACAAAAAGTACAGAAGTGGGTTTTGCGAGGCTTTTCCTTTATGTCCCCTCTTGGTAGGGGCAACCTGTTCCCAGTCACTGTTTTCTGGTACAGAGACTGTCCTGGACCAGGTCCTAGGCACCTTTCAGACAAATTGAATTCTTCTCTTCATTGATAGTCATGTACGAAGAGCAAAATACCTTCTTGCAAACTGTTTTTCTCTCAGAGTGTCCACAGATTGAAATATAGCAAAAGAGAAAAAACAAACTGACATCCAGGATAAAACCTTTCTCCCAGGACCAATATGTGAGCTCCTAATTATTTCCTTGCATAGAGGATCTTTAAAAAATGATCAAAAGACACATGCCTTTCTTAGTAAACTCTGTATTCCGTTGTCCTAATTTTTGGAGGGTAAGAGAAGGTTGTGTGGGGATGCCTGTTTCTTTAGTTGATTTGCAACCACTGGAGAAATTACAGGGAACAAAGGGAAAAAGAGCCACAAATACAAATGAATTCCTTTCATACAAGTTGAAAAAAACCACAGGACGTGCTCCATTTTTTTAACACTCCAGGTGTGATCGCAGATTATGTATCCACCACAGGAGAGTGGAGAGTTAATTAAAATTTTTGCTCTGACTCACAGGAAGAAATGTCTTTCTGTTTGATAGTCAGGCTGGCTTTGGAGTGCTGTTGGTGCTTTCTTCTCTTCTCGCTGGAGTGTCACAGAAAAGCAGATCAAAGGGAGCCTTCCATCCGGATATGTTTCCTCCCATCTTTCTTAGCTAATAGACTTAAAAGTGTCTTCCACTGACGGGCTTATCTGAGATTTTAAAAATGCCATCTTATTATATTGATAATATGCAAACTGGCTTTGATAGATGCTAATGGGAAACCACGTTTACATTAATTAAGACCATCCCAGGTAGTTGCAGTGGGACAGCCTGGCAGAGCGGAACCCCTCAGCCCTACACTTTGTATTTTACTTGGCATCTCACCGTGGGATGGCCGGAAATGGAAGACGGAACCCTCAGCTCTCTCAAGCAGAGTGAAATTTTGTTGTGTTTTCCCTTTTCCTTTTGGTCTTTACGGTTCCCACACCCTCTGGCTGACATCTCCTACCCTGAGGGGAAAAGCCATTTGGGAGAAATCCTGCTGTTTTTCTCTTTAAGATAGTGACAAAATGAAATAAAATGAAGCCAAACAGAAGCTGCGGATGGAGGCCTGTCTACGCAGGCGGTCAGATTCGCAGGGGTCGGTCATTGTCTTGCAGCTCTGGGTGCCTGTGCGGAGAAAACCCGGCCAGGATGCAGCCACCAATAAAAGGACTCCGTTCTGCCACTCAGGGCTTTGTGAGGCGCCAAAGCTTGTCCTGGTTGCCATGGCTACTGTCTGATTTGTGGCGGGTTTGTCACAGTGCTTGATAAAGTGGGAAGGTTATTCTTGATAGGCCCAACTAATCATAACCTTGCAAAGCTTGAGAGTGTGGATTTAAAATTGTTTTTTCCTTCTCTCTTTAACTGGGAATGCAGGGATGGGGGCAGGGGTCCTCAGGACAAAGCTCTTCCCTCAGCAGGTGGTGAGGGCAGTGCCCCAGGAGGGTACTGGCTATGGTCTGGAAGGGAGGTGCCCATGCGCCCAGAGGGCCAGGCAGAGGGGGGGTCTCAGGGTGAACTGTTGTGTCATCTCTGGCCTGAATGGGGCTTCAGAGAAGGGGCTGGAATGGTGTCTTCTCTCCTAACCCATCTGGCAAGTTGATTACTTTGTCTCTCACTCACTGCCTTTCCCCCCTTCCCCCAGATTCCTCCTTCCTTTACTAATTTGCCTTCCTTTTCTCTTTCTCTTTTTCCCTTTCTTCCTTTCTGTCTTAGTCTGTTTTATGCTGCTGTAATAGAATCCCTGACCCTGGGTAATTTATAGTGAATAGAAGTGCATTGGCTCACGGTTCAGGAGGCTGGGAAGGCCAAGACCGAGGGACCACATCTGGGGAGGAGTTTCTTGCTGTGTTATCCCATGGCAGAAGGGCAGAGTGGGGCAGGGAGAGCAAGAGATTGAACTTGCAGGTCAAGATCTTTTCTAATGGGGATCAATCCATTCCCCAGAGAGGTCCTTCCTGACCTAAACACCTCTCATGATACCTCCCAACAAACACTGTTGCCTTGGGGATTAAGTTTCCAACACATGGAAGCTTTGGAGAGGCACACTGGACCATAGCACTCTCTCTTTTTTCCTCTTCCTTCCTCCATTCTCTTCCACTGCAGCAGTATTTCTGACAGCTGATCCTTTAAAAATCCATCTTTTTTTTTTTTTTCTCACATGCACAATGATAGGAAAGGTTAGATTTGAGGTAACAGAGTGGTAGACTCTTCTCTTTTGCCAGAGAGATCTAAGACATCACATAGCTAGTGGTTCTCAGACTCAGCTGTGTCAGAACTACTGGGAAGAGTTTTGTAAAGCACAGATTCTGGGGCCCCACTCCTAGGGTTCCTGATTCAGTGGGTCTGGGGTGGAAGGAATCTGGATCCATGTTTGAGATTTTCTGGCGCCAACTCCTTAAGAAGCCATTGAGAGAGCTGGGGAGTCAGTCCAGTGTGTACACGGGGCAGGGAAGGGGCCGCTCCTGCAGTATTAGTGAAGAGCCCAGAGTGAGACATGAGGCCCTTTCAGTGAGACATACCCCCGGGAATGAAGCCCAGAGCAGTGGCCTCCAGTTAGGTTTCTTTCCCTAACTTTCCCTTCTTTCTAACAGGACTGAGTTTTTAAATTAAAAGACAGACGTCACCCCCCACCCCATCTAATTTGAAATATAACATGGGCAGCATCCAGTTATCCTGCATGACACAGGTGAAGCTGCTCCTGTGTGTGTGGGTGTGTGTATGCCTGCGTGTGGGTGTGCATGTGGGATGTGCGTGTACATGTGTATGCTTGCGTGTTTGTGTGTGTGCTTGCATGTGTGTGTGCGTGTGGTTGCTGTGGCTGGATGCAAATGACCTGATCATTTGTCAAATGTAATTTGACTCCCCGGGACATGCTCTGAAATCATCCAGAGCAGTGTGTGTTGTCATATGCCCTGAGTGTGTCTTTGAGGCGAGGTAATTGTGCTGCTTCAGTGAAATTCACAGAAGGCTATTTGTCCATACAAGAATAAAATAAAGTTAATGGATTAATCCTTTGGCTCTAATTCCTTGCCAACTACACAGACTGAGTCCCGGCCTGGAAAGAAATCATGTTGGCAGTCTGGCTGCAAACTTCCGAACACTTCTTCAGCAGCCCGGGCCTCCAAGCTGCAGAGCACTCCCACCTCTTTTCTGCTTTGTTGGTTTGGGGGATGGAACAGTCCCCTCTCATGGGTTGGGAGTTGGCTTGAGGCTAGAGCAGCCCTAATGATGGCCTGTCCCCCCAGGGTGTCGAGGTGCAGACAGACTACGTGCCCCTGCTGAACTCCCTGGCAGCTTACGGCTGGCAGCTCACCTGTGTGCTGCCAACTCCTGTCATCAAGACCACCAGGTAACAACAACAGTAATTATTATTATCATGGTGCACATTTAACTCTGTGTTCAGGACTGTTTCTGGTAAGTTTGTATAACTTGTATAATCCCATGGTGAGCTATGACGCTGCTGTGGTTATATAAATTCTCCAGCCAGAACTGCATGTGCTTCATGAGCACCGCCCAGAGTTACCCCTTTTTCTGCTTCCTACATGGGGTGGTGGGGGCTGGCCCAGTGCATGATACTCAGCAGGTCAAAGATTAGCCCCCTGGGCTGAGGGAGTCCAGGGCCCTCCTATGCAAAGGAAATTCAGCACAACTATATGTGCTGGGTAGGTTAGGTAGGCACTTTGTGTATAAAATCTTACTTAAATTTTCAAAAAAAGAAAAAAAATCTATGAAGTGGATTTTTTTTTTTTAATTAAAGAGCTGAGGAGCAGAACCCACCTTGCTGCCCCCCTGGCAGCGTGGTCTGTGGTGTGCCTATGGGAGCCATGCCCAAGCCTGCTGTCCTATAGTGGCTGGTGAGGGCTAAGCCCGTCACCCAGGTCCTTGCCTACCTGCCCATCCTGGGCCTCCTTTCCAAACACAGCCTTGGGAGATGCCCCTGACCCTTTGCGATTCACCAAAGCAGCCAGTGTGTCCTCATTTGGCTAAGGTGCTACTGTTTTGGCATGTCAAGGGAAATGGTATTCTAGAAGCCAACTCAGCAGGGACACCCAGAAAGCTTCTGTTGGGTGTCTGAGATAGCCTGCAGGAAACAGGGTGCTAGCTTGGAGGAGGCAGTGGCAAGGGGCTGCTGAGTGACCTCTCGCAGTGCCTCGGGCAGGGATGAAAGCCAGGGATTGCACTGTCCTCCAGGTACAACATGACTCATCTCAGCTCTGTGTGTTGCAGGGAAGGGAGTGTGTCCACCAAGCAGATTGTCTTTCTTCAGAGACCATGTCTACCTCAGAAAATCAAGAAGAAGGAATCAAAGGTAAGAGGCTTTCCTTGCCCACCTCGGTTTTCCTCAGTGGGGTTTCATCTGCCAAAGGATCTCTGACTGCAGCCTCTTCCAATCTGCAAAGGCTCTCAGAGCCCCAGGAGCACCAGAGTCTCTTGGCAAATAGAATCACACCTGAGGCTGCTAAAGTGGGAGGGTTGAGGTCCTTGTCTGGCATCTCCTGCTGGGCAAGCCAAAGGGGAGAACAGAGGCTCTTCTGGGTGCTTCAGGATGCCAGATAGTCCCACAAGGGTGAAGGGCAGGAAGCCAGCTGCAGTCTGACTGGGGAGGGGAACAGCTGAGCTCATGGCTAGCTTCTCTGTGGCTTGCTCTTATCACAAGCTAGTTGGAGCTCTGGCCTGCCCCGTATAGACCCTACAGGACATCAGAAGTTGCTGGTCTTGGCAGACAGACCTTGCCAGAGTCCCTTCTTGATAGGACACTATCTGAAGGCCTCCAAGTGACAGCTGGTGATGTAGATAGAGGCCAGCTTTAGTCTGTGGCAGCAATCCTTAGGCCAGGCTGTCCTAGGGATCCCCAGGATTCTCATCCTCCTCTGGACTCTGCATGAACTATCCTAGAGAAATGGTTGGTTGCACAGACTGTGGACGTTCTCAGAGAATCTTCTTTGTACTTCCTGATGTTTAGCGTAAGTCCCCCCTTTGTGCCAGAAGATTCAGATACTTCACCTCTGCTGCTTTGTGGCCTGTGGGTGCTTTTCCTGTGGGTATTTCCCCAGTTGCTCAGGGAAAGGCCAGCAAGTCAAGTGAACCTATCACAGCCCAAGTCAGCCGTCACCAGATCCAGTTTGCTCCACCTTTGCTGGCTGAGGCTACACTCTCAGCAGAGCCCGTCCAGCTTGTTCAGCTCCTCACAACTGGCACCATCCCCACGTTCCCCACTCTTGGTTCCTGATGTTCTTTGGACACAGAGCCCCAGACAGGAGCTTCTAGCAAGTGAACAGATTGGAGCAGCCTTTTACCAGCCAACAAACCCAGGGGGAGCCCATTTGTAGAAGCAGCGCCAAGGCAGCGGTGACTTGAAGCCAGATGGGCTGGAGTGCGGAGGAAGGTCTCTCTAGGATCTGAGATAGTAGTGTGACAGGTGACAGCAGCGGCGGGCCAGAAGGCAGCCTCCACTGGTGCACCATTAACCACCAGGAGCATCAGCCACTGGGCAGGAGATGGATTGGCTATGAGCTGTCAGGCGCAGCTCAGCTCTGCCCAGGCTCAGGCCCTGCTCACGTTCAAAGAGACAGCCCACAAGCAATGCTCGTGAGGTCTCCTTCAGACTTTGAAAGACACCCGGCGGCAGCCTTACCAGAGGGAGGTGGCACTGGCTCCAAAGGACAGTTACATGGTTCAGTGTCAGCAGGAAGGTCATGGCGTCTCACAGAGGGGACACCTCAGGAGAGACTTAAGCGGGCAGAGAGGTAGATTGCTAAAAGCTGCTCTGTGAAGGTAGAACTGATTTTCCTCAGAGGAAATCCAGACGGGGTGGGAGTCATTTTCTAGTCAGCAGAACTTCCCAATCCCAGCAAGCCATGCAGATATGAGTGGGCTTGCTCTTTCTCTGTCCCTGTTTATTTCCTGCCTCATTCTAGGACTGGAGGTAGCTGGTGTCAGGTACTTATTCTGTGCAGACCTGCTGGGTCACCTCACTGGTGGAGTCCCAGAGAGAGGGGACTAGACAGCCACACTTCTTAGAAGAATCCTCTGGATGGTGTCCTGTCCCTGACTCCTCAACAGACTCAGGGTGGTGTCCTGTCCTGCAACGTCCATGCACTCTGGTGGCCATGACACTCACTCCATGTGGTCCTTGTCATGCCTGGCCCCCACAGCCCTGGCACTGTGGCCACCCTCCACCTCTTGAGGCACCTTTTCTCTTGGTTCCATCTCACCACATTCTTCTGGTTTTCCACTAAGTTCCTTGGGATTCCAACCCAGGCCCATTTCTCTCCTCATTCTTACCTCTTCCCTGGAAAATCTCCTTTGGCCCTGAAGCTTTGCTCACCCCCTCTGCACCTGTTCCATCTGCAGCTTCAGCCCTTGCTTTGACCCTAAGCCTCAGCTCCATCTCTTCTGTGGCTGACATCAATCTAAAGACGAGCTCAGGACAGTTCTCATGCCTGGCTGGACGCCCCCACCCCTATCTAGAGGAATGGTACCACCCCCCTGTATTCAGTCTGTCCTTAAGTCCCGACTGGACTCTGGAGCCTCAGGAGTCCCTTCACATCTCTCCAACATCCCTTGCCACAACTCCTCCAATCTCCTAATAACATGTCTCCCCTTAAAATATCTTCTCTATTCAGAGCCACCGTGATCTTTTATTAATAAAAAAGAAAATTGAACCACATCACTCCATTGCTTAAAACAGTTCTAAAGCTCTGTGTGACTCTGAAGATAAACAGAGAAGTTGTTATTGCGGCCCCGAGGCCCTGTGGGATCTGACCCATCTCACATCCTTTGCCAGCCCCCCATTCTCTATGGTCCAGCTCCACTGGCCTCCAGGACCTTCCAGGTCACCTCTGCCAAGGACACTGTCCTCTTTTCTCTCTCTGTCCAAGCATCGTTTTCTCAGGACAGCCTTCCTTCCTTTTAGACCAAACGAGGCTCCTTTACAATACAAAGGGATGGAAAGGAACTGTGTTCATCTCATTCAGAGCCTCCTCTGGGTTCTGATTATTTGTGATCATTGGTTTACCCACTCTTGGTAGAAGCAAACATTAACTCCACGTGAGCAAAGACTTTCCCCTCCTGACTGGTGTACACCCAGTGCCTGGGTTTTAGTTAGTGCTCAGCAAATATTTTTTGATTCAATGAATGAGTAATCAAATTTCCAAGCCCAGGACATATGTATGTTATCTAGCATTGAAACGTAAGAAAAGAAATTGCAGGATTGCCACACCAAGGACATGGCATATTTAGACCTCTTTTAATCAGCAACCTGGATGAAATTCTCCAATCAAGACTTTTCAGCATTTGAAAGAAACCTCTGTGTATGTGAGTCTGATTTTCAAAGCAAATATTCAACTCCTTCAAAGGGAATAGGTGATTTCTATGCCACCAGCGAAGTCATGTTCTAGCTAAACTACTTGAAGTGGACACATTGCAGATGGGTTTTTTAAAATGTGCAAATTAAATCCATTAGCCCCTGCTGACATGGAACTCTGGACACACTGCTGTAAAGTGAAGGATTTTTTTTCTTGTGTACGATTATTTCTGATTTAGGTGGCTTGTTAGATTTGGTGGTACACCACCTGCTACAGAAACTCTGGCTTGGAAAGCTCACCCGTAACTTGGCACAGCCTGTTTTAGCTGTGGCTTATTTGGTGAACTCAACAAGAGGTACTGCTGACCTTGGTGCTGCTGAACTGGTGCACCGCATTCTCCTGGCTGGACTGCCTCCCTTCAAGTGGTGTGGGTGTCAGACTCACCTCTCAGGCTCAGCCTGAAAGCTGTCAGTCTCAGGTGTTGCCCCATCCCTGGCCTCTTCTCTTTTTGTTTCTGAGACAAGAACTTTTAGAGCCTCCAGATCTGGAACACCTTTTGGTGTGTGTTAAAGATGCTGACTGTGCCAGCTTAAAGGAGCCAGGCTGGGTGGTGAAGGGAGGTGGGTGTGAAGAAGGGTAAAAGGGAAACAAGGATGGCCTCCCATACATGGCAGAGCTGGGGTAATGAGGGTGATCGTGACCTTACTTTTACACAGCTGTTTCTTAAATAGCTAAACCTTGCCCAGCTGTTTTTTGTTTTTAGTTGTTTTCAAAATGTAGTCCAGGGACCAGCAGTGTCGGTATTACCAGGGAGCTTGTGAAAACTGCAGAGTCTCCTACTAGCAACTCTGGGCTGGGGTGGGTGAGCTGTGCTTTAATAGGCCCTCCAGGTGGTCCTGATGCCCACTCAAGTCTAGGAGCCAGTATCTTACTTAGCTGAATAGTGTTGGGCCCTCTGCAGGCTGACCTGTGGACCCCCATTCAAATTTTATCATAATTGACTTTTTAAAAATGAGTTTGTAAGGGAGACTTCAGTATAGATACTTGTTTTTAGTAAGTCAAACCAAAGTATCTTTAATGGAAGTTAAATATGGACTTCCATTAGCTGACCACTCAGCCTAATGAGTCAAGCGCCTGACCTAGTAGATGCATCTTGTCATCATAAAGCCTAAAAATGAGGCACTTATGAATTGGGCTAATCTGCTAAGCCATTCCAAAGGAGTAGCCTCTTTCTTTCCTCACTTCTTTCTGGAGTAAGAGATGAAAGTCTTTCACCAAAAACTAAAGGCTGGATGGGTAATTTGTAGCTGAAGAAATCCAAGTTGGAATTCTAGCTCTCTTATTTCCTAGCTGTGTGACTTTAGGCAAGTTACTTAACCTCTCTGAATTTCTGTGTGTTCATCTTTAAAATGGCACTAATAGTGCCTACTGAGTTTTGCTTTGGGAATGCAGGGAGATGTGAATCCCTGCCACATTGTAAGACACCTAGTAGGTGCCTCAGTATGTGCTTGTTCCTTCCTAGGCAGGTGTCTAAGGCAACCTGCCTTCACAACTCTGAACATTCAGGTTCTAGATTGTCCAGTTGCTCACTGAGTTTTGGCCACTGCTACTTCCCTGCTTCATGAAAACCTCCCCTTGCAGAGGAGAGGAGGAAAAGGGAAGGCTCAAGTGAGATTCTCCCTGGGTATCTGACTGCAGCCCCCATGATAGCTGTGGTGGGATGGGGGGCCCAGGCAGCACTCGAGTCAGTGAGGTCACCCATAGCCCATCTGAGGACACAGCAAACAGCAGTCCTAGTCATGGCAGAGTTTTCTGTGATGACTCAGAAGTACAGAAAATGGCTGAAACATTTCCCACCCAGCTCAACACTAACAGTCCCAAATCCTTCTCCCTTTACCAGTTTGGGTGGAGATGCCTGCTCCGGCTCCTTTCCAGCATGTGTTTCCCTGTCACATTATATCAGCAGATCAACAAAATGTGGCCTTCTGTAGGAAATTGGACATGGCCGGGCATCCAGAGGAAACTATGGAAGTTCTTTTGTTAATTTAGCAAGAGCAGCCCCTGCAAGACTATCTAGACTCAAACTAGAAATTAACATATCTTGGGGGAAGATTATAGATATTACCTAGATACTGGTCAAAATGTTTTTTTTTTTTGGTTGAGAGCCTTACTCTGTCACCCTGAGTCAAATGCCATGGCATCCTGAGTAAGATGCTGTGGCATCATCATAGCTCGCAGCAACCTCAAACTCTTGGGATCCTTCTGCCTCAGCTTCTTGATTAGCTGGGAACACGATACCCAGCTAGTTTTTCTATATTTAGGAGAGACAGGTCCTTGCTCTTACTCAGGCTGGTCTCAAACTCCTACACTCAAGCAGTTCACCTGCCTTGGCCTCCCAGAGTGCTGGGATTACAGGTGTGAACCAGCACGCCTGGCCTCTCTAGACTCATATTAGAAATTAACCTTTCTTGAGGAAAGAAGATTACAGATACTACCTAGATATTGGTAAAAACCTTTTTTAAAAATAGGCAGTTCTGAAGATACTGAGTTATTTCAATTATTGTTCACAGTCAGAAATCAAACTCCTTGTTCTACTCTTTCCCCTTCTCACTACTACACATGACTAATCTTTAAAAAATGATATATAGCATCTGGGTAGTACCTGTGGCTCAAATGAGTAGGGCACTGGCCCCATATGCTGAAGGTGATGGGTTCAACCCAGCCCTGGCCAAAAACTGCAAAAAATAAAAATAAAATGATATATAGCATCAATGTACAGTTATGATTTAATAAAGAAATAAAAAATAAAAATAGCTGAGCATTGTGGTGGGCGCTAGGCCCAGCTACTTGGGAGGCTGAGGTAAGAGAATCGCTTGAGCCCAAGAGTTTGAGGTTACTGTGACAAAGTAAGACTCTGTTTCAAAATAAATAAATAAATAAATAAAAATAAAAACCACTTAAACCATACAATTCCTATCATATCCACACACACACAAAAGATTTGTAATAAGAACAGTCTTAGGTTGTATAGGAGTAAACTTTCTGTACTACCAAGGAGAGGGATTTGTCAGTGTATCATGTCAATATAGGAGAAAGCAATAGAAAAGCATGGGACAAAAAAGAAAGAAAAGCATGGGACAAGATGGCAAGAAAAATTAGAAAAAATACAGAAGCTGAACTCATGGAAATATAAGTCACAAATTTTATCATTTATTATGATATGAATCTTGAATTTTTATGTTAAATATTTTCCTTTGGAATAAAAAAAAAGTTAACAGATCTTAATGATGGGATAGTCTGGCACATGGTGTAATTGTCCTCAACAGTACATTGCACAGTGGCAGGGGTGCCACTGATATTAAATACAATGTGAATGGGGCCCTGGAACCACCACTCTGGAGGCAGTGACAGGTATTTTAGGATTGAGGAATGTGAGATTCTGAGAGATTAATAACTTGCCCAAAGATTGACACTTTGCCAGTGCCAGAATGGGGATTTGAACCTGAGGCTTAGCTACCATACTGTAATGCTTTGACATTTTAGCATTTAAGTCCTCTTAGGCAAAAATAATTTCACCATTTTTTTGTAAAAGTAAAACTTTCTCTGACTTCCCCAATAGCTGACAGCCTCTTGGAGTACTACTATGTCATACATGGGCAGGCTTAACTGGTCTTTTTCTAAAAACATGTAAAATGTGAAGAAATTCTACCTATTTTTGGGATAACCATTAAAAAAAAAGTTCTTCCCTTTAAAGGTAAAGTGCAGTGGCAGCCACATGTCACAAGGCAGCAGTTATGAACCATATCACCACGTGCCAGAGCTAGGGAAGGTTGGCCTTGGAGGCAGCAGTGGTCACTCGAGATCTGACAGCTCCTCTGGTGGGTTAGGGAGCACTAGCCTGGTTGTCAGTCTTGGCTGAAGTTGGCGCCATTGTGGGCTGGGTCTGAGGCTCCACTTAGCCTACAGTGTGAGTCCATAATTGGAAACTCCTAGCTTTGGGTGGAAGAGGCTCCAACCTACCCCAAAGGGAGTCTGTCAGCTATAGTAGGAGTGAACACAAGAAAGGCCCGTCGAAGGGGAACCCCCTCCAGCAGTATCAGTGAACTCATTTAGGGCTTTGTGTGATGCAGGTAGGGAGAGGGAGGACAGGGTAAATGTTAAATCTTAACCTCACCATATGTTTCTCTCATGTTTCTCCACTTTGATGGAATATTCAAATTTGCCAGTCTTCTCCAAAAGGTGTTAAATCTAAGAATCCCGTTCTGTGTTAAATCTCAGATCTCTGAGTGTTTGGGCAAATGTTTTATTTGAGGAAATAGATCTCTACCACGGAAAACTCTGCAAGGGTGACAGATTTTTAAAAATTCACATAGCACATTTTTGGTGTTTCCTAGCAAAGCACTCAGTTATTTAGGACATGGTAAATAAAGCCTTAAGAAATCGTGGCTCAAAAAAAAAAAAGGAAATCGTGGCTGATGGTTCAACTGCATTCTTAAGCTCCCCTCTGCAGCCCAGCAAACGTAGGAACTGAAGGCTCCTTTCCTTCAGACACAGACTAAGATTTAAGTACATATTTGATGAAACCACTGTGATGCAACTGAAACAGAAGGAAGTGACTATGGTGGTGACTTAAAATTGAAACTACTGTGTGTACTTCGGGCCACTGAGATGAGAAAACAGAGACTGAGAAATGTGGCCAGCAAGTGGCAGAGCTGGGATTCTATCTGGCAGTCTCACTCCAGAGCTTTGATAGGACCCTGTTTCTTCCCAACTCTATTACTGGCTGTGTGACTTTGGGACTCTCTGAGCCTCTGGCAACTTCCCTGTCACCTGGGGAAATGCTTGATAGCAGGTCTGGATCCCTGGGAAGCAGCTTCTGAGATAGATTTGGGTGGAAGAAGTTGTAGAGAGCGAGCGCCCTTGGGAACAACAGCTGTGGGTGCGCGAGCAGGTGGAGAAGTTGGGCTGTGAGGTGGTTGCCCACCCTCCCTCCAGTAGCTCTGGAGCTCGGATGGCCTTTCAGAGTTGTCCCAAGTTGGGATGAGGAGGTGGGCTGTTGTACTCTTCCTGGACCAGTAATTGGTTGTAGTCATTGGCTGTAGGGAGTATGACCTTCAGTGTGGCAGTGCCGGCAGCTGTGCCTGCAGCAGAGGGTGCGGGGCTGTCAGTCCTGCTGGGAGATCTGAGTGGGCAGCACTGTGTCTGTTGCACATTCTGGATTCTGCCTACCTCAGGTCACCTGGTGAGAGAATGCTGGCCTGCCCAGAATGGAGATGAGGAGCTGTAGCCCTGGCCCTTAGGAGGGACAGGCCTCACGTCTCCTCTCCACCTTGACCCTCCAAATGACAGGACTTCAGGACTCCCTTTCCCATGTGGACCTTTGGTACAGAGTCAGTCAAAAGAAACACCTTTGAAACCCATATCTAGACTACCTGCCATAGAAGGCAGGGAACAAACTCTGGGTGCCTGTGGTGTCTTTCGCTGTGATAGAAGTTTGTTGCCTCAGCTCTGGCAATGCTGAGAATTACAGCGCGTCTTGCCCAGAGACAGGCTGTGGTAGATTGCAGAGAAGCCTTCAGATGGAACTCTAGGTTCACAGAGGCTGCGTTAGTTATCCTCACCCTCTCTGATTTCTAGTTTCAGTGGCGATTCTCCCGAGAAGAAATGCACAACCGGCAGATGAGGAAATCCAAAGGGAAACTCGGTGCCAGAGACAAGCGGCAAGCAGAAGAAAACGAGAAGAATTTAGAAGACCAGTTTTCCAAAGCTGGAGACGTGGGAAACTGCGTGCTGCTAGGCGAGCAGCAGGAGGGCGCCACTTCTGAGATGGTCCAGGAGGTCCAGGAAGAACAGCTGCCCCCTGTTGGCCAGCTGTGCATGGGGGGTGTGGAGGGTCAGGCTGTGCAGAACGGTCCTGCCAGCCCCAGCAGAGCCCCAGCAGGGGACTGTGCAGGGCACTCAGATCCTGGTGAGGAGGCCGGGGACAGGTGTGCAGAGGATGTTGCTGGGGAGCCAGCCACAGCAGATGAGCACTAAGTGTTGGCAGTTTGCACAGAAGTTAGACGGGCTGGCAAACCCAAGGCACCTTGCTGACAGCTGGCTCAGGGGCTGGTTTGCTCTGGTGTTGTGTGTTACTACCCTTTGGCTTGGCTTGACCTCTCCTTGTGAGCTCACCTGGCCCTCCAAGGTCCAGGTCCCTGACAGTGTTGGGTTTTGCACATCCATTGGAAAGGTGTCATTAATGACCTGTGTTAGAACATAGGAGGCCAGGTTATTTCTTCTAGAGCTTATGTGGCTGGAGGCCCGGCCCTGGCTCGACCATTCCTCCCATGTGAGAGTCTGGACTATCCAGTGCCTGTGTCTGCCCTGCAGGGCCTTCAGGGAGCATTCGGGTCAAATCCATGGTTATCCTTGGCTGTAAACACCCTGTTGGGGCAGTGTCTGTCCCCTGCAGTTGTGTGGTGACTTTTACCCCTGGGGCTCTATCAGCGGCCCTTCTCCTCCTGAACCCCTCAGTCCCTGCTGCTTTGGCAAAGAAAATGTCTGGGAGAGGAGGTTCTCAAAGTAGTCCTGTAGATACTGGTAATCTGGAAATAGATAATTCTGTGTCTGCACCTGCTCTTGCACAATGTTTGAGGAAGTATTCTGTGTTAGTATTAATGCCAAAAAAATTTTTTAAAGGTTTTGTATTCAGCACATCATATGAACACACCTATGTCATTTCTGTCATTTCAGGGCATCCATACTGGTTGGTGCCTTTCTTGTGTGCTATTTTAATCTGTGTATCATTGGCCAAGTTGTTACCCATGTATGCTGTGTCTACCATGTGTTTAAATTGTTCAGAAAGTATTGTTGAGGCTTTAAGTAGATGGAACTGGCGAAACCTTGGAGAGAGAATGCTGACTGTCTTCACCAGAACAACAACTGCCTATTCTCTTTCTTGTTTATTTACTTAAAGCAATAAATCATCTATGAGTTAGTGCATTGTGAGTAGTGATACCTATCATGTCACATGAAAAGTCCTAGCCTAATGTCCAAAGGACCTACCCCATATTCCTCATTCACTTTTTATAAGTTTATAATTCCTAGCAGCTTAGATTCTGGGCAAGAAAATGAAGCTCCTCTATAAAACTACAGAGCCAGGGAAGCATTGCTGTGCTTTATTGTCATTTGTAGAAAGAAGATGGAAAGTGGAATTCAGATGCACCAGGTAAGTAAGGGGCTTGGTCACCACCTATGTCTGGGGTAATGGAGAAAAATACCTTTTTTTTTTTTTTTTAAATACAGAGCCTCAAGCTATCCCCTTGGGTAGAGTGCCGTGGCATCACAGCAGCTCACAGCAACCTCCAACTCCTGGGCTCAAGGGAGTCTCCTGCCTCAGCCTCCCAAGTAGCTGGGACCACAGGCACCCGCCACAATGCCCGGCCATTTTTTGGCTGCAGCCATCATTGTTGTTTGGCGGGCCCAGGCTGGATTCGAACCTGCCACCTTAGGTGTATGTGGCTGGCACCTTAGCCGCTTGAGCCACAGGTGCCGAGCTGAGAAAATACCTTTTTAAAACAAATTAAAAAAATCCCACATCAATAAATTATTTGAGGTAAGTCTCTTCCATTTGCAAGTTGATTAAAATAAAACATATTTGTAATGCATTTTTATAGGCAGAATTGAAAACCCTTGTACACCCACATCATACACAGTTGTTTCCTCTTGACAAATTCCCCACCCAGCACTCAGAGCTTAAAAAGGTTAAAGGCCCTGTCCAAAGAGAGGACTATTTTAAAATGACATTTTCCACAATTATTACTCAGCTAATATTGGTACAGCATTTTTGGTTTAATAAAAATATCTCTTGGCACATACTTTAAAGGATCATGACTTTAAAAAAATGTTAGTCAGCAACAGGTTAGTTTTTCTCAACTTAAAAAAAGGTGGAGGGTCTTACATTGTTCAACCAAAGTTAAACATTTTTCAATAATGAAATGACATTTACATTGGCTATATTTGCTGTGGGAAAAAAGATTAAAGTTGACTTTAACTAATTTGAATTCTTCAGGGAGTTTGGCCTGAGTGTCAGGCTAGCAATTCCTGAAGGTTTTTTTCTCCCTTGCTTTTCTCCATCCCTGCTGATTCTGGCAAAATGTCAGTGTGCTGTGGAAGTTCTCAAATTAGCAGCACCTTGGAACCACTGGAGGAGCTTTAAAAAATACTGCTGCCCTGGGCCAACCCCAGAGCCTTGAATGAGCAGGCACTGGAATTTTTAAAAGCTCCTTGGGGGATTCTAAGGTGCAGCCAAGGTTAGTAGTACCACTGGCCACAGGATCTCTGTGAATTGAATCACAGCTTGTCCCTTGTGAAATAAGATGCTTTTTACAAATGGCAAATAACCAAGGCCCTAAAACCCAATCCCAACATTCTGCATATACATTTCAAGCAGAGTTATTCCTGAAGGAAATTTATTTCCCTGTGTTTGCCAATAGGGTAAGAGGCCATCATTTGCACTGACTAGGTGACAGGAACAGTGAAATCTTGTAGTGTATAAGGAGACTTGTGCATGTAGCGGTTAGTCTTTGGGGTTGCAGCTGTCACAGCAGGTCTTCAGGGAAGGGGAGTTCTAGGGGGTGAGCAAGTGATTGCAGTGAATACATTGCTATGAAGTCATGGGTGAATTCTAAGTCTTTCACTAGGGAAGTGTTTTCAACCTTTTCACCTCCAGAGATTCAGGAGAAGGTAGTGGGTAGAGTTTAGTGTCACTCGCAGGGCAATGAGAAGAGGGGAAGGAATTCTGGAAAAGGGATTCTGCTTAAAGAAATGTAGATGTATTGCTCTCAAGCATGCACATTCACAAGGTCAAAGCACTGATGTAGGGAAAGCCTACGGAAACTGATGTTAATGGAGCAGTAAGACTGTTATATGTTGGGCTTGGTGTAGTGGAAAAGCCCAGTTGGGCTTTGAAATTAGACAGAGCTTGTTAGGAAGCTAACTAGACACAACCTACAACATAAAACCTTCAGTTAATTTCTTCACACCTCTGAGCATCATCCCCTCAAGTGAGAAATGGGGCTAATGGGACCCATATCATTGGATTTTTGTAAGGATTAATAAGATGTGTGTAAAGTACTTGGTCCATGGTAAGCGCTCTGTGGGTAATAGTTAATCATAATGCTGAAAGGTAATCAATATGGCAGAGACTATTAGTGCTCACCCAATATCCACACCACCACAGAAGTATGTGTATTCATATATCTTCCAGCCCCTCTTGCAGGGTGGGCCATAAGACTGGTGATTAGACATGTGCATGTGTGGCATAGGCTACTTCTGGGCCTGACTTTTAAAAATACCCTAGAGACTTCAACATTACACCAACAGAACTAGACAGATCCTCCAAGCAAAAACTATAAAGAAATGGTGGACCTAAACATGACTCTAGAACAATGGGCTTAACAGACATATGCAGAACATTCCATACCAAAGATACTGAATATACACATCATCAGCTCATGGATCAGTCTCCAAAATTGATCATATCCTAGGACACAAATCAAATCTCAACAAATTAAAAAGAATACAAATTATACTTTGTAATTTTTCAGACCATAATGGAATAAAAGTAGAACTCAACTCCAACAAAAACCTTAATCCCTGAGCAGCACCTGTGGCTCAGTGAGTAGGGCGCCATCCCCATATACCAAGAGTGGTGGGTTCTCGAACCCGGCCCTGGCCAAACTGCAAACAAAAAATACCAGACGTTGTGGTGGGCGCCTGTAATCCCAGCTGCTTGGGAGGCTGAGGCAAGAGAATCGCCTAAGCCCAGGAGCTAGAGGTTGCTGTGAGCCGTGATGCCACAGCACTCTACCAAGGGTGACAGGGTGAAACTCTGTCTCTTAAAAAAAAAAAAAAAAAAAAAAAAACCTTCATCCCTATACAGTCAGGGAAATGAAACCTTATGTTGGGTCAAAGAGGAGACAAAGAAGGAAATCATTAGATTCCTTGAACAAAATGACAATGAAGCCACAGCTATCAAAACATATGGGATAAAGAAGAAGCAGTCCTAAGAGGAAGATTTGTTGCTTTAAATGCCCACATACAGAAAACAGAGTGCAAACCAATAATCTAAAGAATCATCTCAAGAAATTGGAATAGGAAAAGCAATTCAATTCAAAACCTAGCAGAAGCAAGAAATAACCAAAAGTAGAGCAGAATTAAATGAAATTAAGAACAAAAGAACTATCCAGAAGATTAACAAAACAAAAAGTTGGTTCTTTGAAAGGATAAATAATATCAATAAACCTTTGGCCAGACTAACTAGAAACAGAAAAGTAAAATCTCTAATAACTTCGATCAAAAACTAAAAAGGAGAAATAACGGATACCACAGAGATACAAAGGATCATCACCGATTGCTACAAAAAATTCTATGCCCAGAAATTTGAAAATTTGGAGGAAATGGACCAATAGTTGAAATTCACACCACCTCCCTAAAGTCAACCAGAAATTAGAACTCTTGAACAGACCAGTATCAAGCACCAAAATTCCAACAATAAAAAAGCTGCCAAGAAAAAGAAGTCCTGGCCAGATGGCTTTACACCAGAATTCTACCAAACCTTCAAAGAAGAGCTCATACTTATTTTATAGAACCTATTCTAACAACTCACCCCCAATTCCTCCTTTCTACAAAGCAAATACCACCATGATAACTAAACTAGGAAAGGATCCAACAAAAAAAGAAAACTACAGACCAATATCACTAATGAATATCAATGCAAAAATAGTACAATCCTAGCAAATAGAATATAGCTACACATTTTAAAAAATTATCCATTACGAACAAGTAGGCTTTATCGCAGGCATGCAAGACTGGCTTAAAACAAGCAAATCAATAAGCACAATTCACCACATCAATAGAAGCAGAAACAAAGACTATAAGATCCTCTCAAATAATGCAGAAAAATCGATTGATAAAATTCAGAATTCTTTCTTGATAAGACACTTAAGAACACAGGCATAGACCGGACTTTTCTTTAACTGATAGAAGCCATCTATGACAACCCACAGCCAACATGCTAAAGGGAGTAAAACTGAAAGCATTTCCACTAGAACTGGAACTGACAAGGATACCCGGCTATCGCTGCTACTATTCAACATAGTGCCAAAAGTCCTAGCCAATATAATCAGGCAAGAGAAGGATATCAAGGGTATCTAAACAGAAACAGGTCAAATTTTTACTCCTTGCTGATGATATGATTTGATACTTAGAAAACCCCAGGGACTCAAACATGAGGCTCCTGGAAGTGATCAAGAAATACAGTAATGCATCAACATTCACAAATCAGTAGCCTCCATATCCTCCCAACAACTAACAAGCTGAGAATCAAATCAAAGACACAATTCCCTTCACAGTAGCTTCAGAGAAAATGAAATACCTTGGAATACACCTAACCAAGGATATGAAAGATCTCTACAAGAACTATCAAACACTGAGAAAAGAAACAGCTGAAGACATTAACAAATGGAAAAACATACCATGCTCATGGCTGAGAAGAATCAATGTTGTTAAAATGTCTATACTATCCAAAGCAATTTACAGGTTTAATGCAATCTCCATTAAAACACCATGTCATACTTTGAAGAACTTGAAAAAATATTCGTCATTTCATATGGAACCAGAAGAAATCCCAATAGCCAATGCAATTCTAAGAAATACAAACAAATCTGGAGGCACCACGTTATCAGACTTCAGGTTATATCACAAGTCCACAGAAATCAAAATAGCATGGTATTGGCATAAATAGACACATCTATGGAATGGAACAGAAAACCTGGAGCTAAAACCAGCCTCATGTTGCCATCTGATCTTTGATAAACCAAACAAAAAAAAGCATACATTGAGTAAAAGAATTCCTATTTAATAAATGGTGCTGGGAGAACTGTTAGCCACATGTAAAAGCCTGAAACTGGACCCATGACTC